TTTCAGTCACAGTCTTCCAGTCTCCCAGTCGTACACTCATACAGTCTTCCAGTCTCCCAGTCGTACACTCACACAGTCTTCCAGTCTCCCAGTCGTGCAGTCACACAGTCTTCCAGTCTCCCAGTCGTACAATCACACAGTCTTCCAGTCGTACAATCACACAGTCTTCCAGTCTCCCAGTCGTACAATCACACAGCCTTCCAGTCTCCCAGTCGTACACTCACACAGTCTTCCAGTCTCCCAGTCGTACACTCACACAGTCTTCCAGTCTCTCAGTCGTACACTCACACAGTCTTCCAGTCTCTCAGTCGTACACTCACACAGTCTTCCAGTCTCTCAGTCGTACACTCACACAGTCTTCCAGTCTCCCAGTCGTACACTCACACAGTCTTCCAGTCTCTCAGTCGTACACTCACACAGTCTTCCAGTCTCTCAGTCGTACACTCACACAGTCTTCCAGTCTCTCAGTCGTACACTCCACAGTCTTCCAGTCTCTCAGTCGTACACTCACACAGTCTTCCAGTCTCTCAGTCGTACACTTACACAGTCTTCCAGTCTCCCAGTCGTACACTCACACAGTCTTCCAGTCTCTCAGTCGTACACTCACACAGTCTTCCAGTCACACAGTTTTCCAGTTACACAGTCCTCCCGTCTCCCAGTCATACAGTTACACAGTCACACAGTCGTACACACTCACAGTCTCAGAAGAAACAGTCCTCTCGTGCCTATCTCCCCTACTGTATCTCCATTACTCTGTCAGATAAATTTAGTGAGCCAGTAAGTTCGTGAGACAGGGATTCACATTCCTAAAACCACGCTAGATGTCGTCTGTACACGCATTCCTTGGACATGTACAACACATTCTCCTTCTCACTGCCTCCAGTGACTCATACTCTTCGCAGGGTGATGCCCGGATCCGGGGTACGAACCAGCCATGACCAGTGCAGTGGTCAGAGCGTGGAGTACGGTGTGTGTGGGAGGCCAGTGTGCCCACCTGGGCAGGTGTCAGCGGTGTCGTTCAGGGCGGCACAGTGCCGGCACTACAACAATAGGCGAGTCTTCGGCAGACTGGTCAACAACTGGGTCCCCTACACTCAAGGTGAGAGAGAGAGATACATACTTTGGAATAGTGAAAATGTATGTTATACAACGATATAAACCTTATTATTAGATACCGACAAATTGGTTGAGAAAGACATGTGAACAAACATTAAAACGTTTCGGTCCTGAGACCTTGATCACTTCTAACACACTAAGGTTGAAAAGACAGTATATATAGGTGGAGAGTGAGGTGTGAGTGACATATAGTGACCTGAAGAATGACATATTGGGATGAGGACAGGTAGACAATGTGACCACGTGACTCCTGTGTTGTTCGGTAGGTGGTGCTTTGCCTGGTATACAATACCGACAAGATGAAGAATTAGATGCATGTGCAACATCCGGCTATCCTTACTGTAGACGTTTCGCCATCCAGTGGTTTTATCAATACAAATTCAAGGACATAATGGGAAGACAGCAAAAATATATTCAAAGATGAGGTAATCAGTCCCTCAGCCTTGGAGATGGTGAAGAGCACCGTAGTCTTGAGGAGTCTGAAGCACAGGCATAAAGATTGGCACTTATATACTGGCGTCAGGTGAGGGACGTGTATCAGACCAAGACATTGTCACTGGTAGGCGGGATTCCCAGATGTTGCACATGTGTCTAATTCTTGGGAACAGTAAAATAGCTAACAATTATAATGAGAAAGACCTTGATATAACGTAAGTTTAGATTGGAATACGAGGAAGTGTTACAATGAAGAGGTCAACGATAAACAACGCGATGCGTAGTGATAGCAGAATCAGTGTTATTGAGACGCGTCATACGGCCAGTATTTTTATAATTAATGGATGGGAAACGTGCCACACTTGGCTATCTTCATTGTGGAAACGTTTCGCCAACCAGTGGCTTTATCAATCCAGTACACAAACAAAAACCTTGCAGGATAAGAAGAGGGAGTTTGAGGTAAGCAGTTCGTCAGCCTTGAGATGATGTGTTCAGTACATCATCTCTATATCGAGAAAGCCGCTGGCTGGCCAAGCATGTCCGCAAAGGCAGGCGTCACATGGCCTCTTCACCCCAGCTGAGAGGGCCATGTGACGTCCTGACACCGACTCTGTCACAACGCCGTGGCTGCAACGATGACACTGATTCTCTCTGGCCTGAATCAGAGTCAACAAAGTGGCTGCTACAATTCACGACTAGACACGGTGTAAAAAAAATTATTGGGGCAACTTTTCGCTCTGTCAAACGTTTATCTAGTTATGACCTCATGAAGCTCTACACAGCCGTACATTACTTGATAAAGCTCTTCTTAGAGCGAAACATAACTTGACAAAGCTCTACACAGGGTGAAACATAACTTGACAAAGCTCTACACAGAGTGAAATGTAACCTGACAAACCAATACACAGAGCGAAACGTTGTCCTAATTAAAAAAAATTAAAACTCATTCAAGAAACTGTATCTTTCTGTTTCAACCTTTGTCAGCAGAAACGTCAATTCGGACTTTTCGAGCCGTCCGTGACGAGGCACGGACCGAAATGTCGCGCCAAACTCCCCCTCCCCTCTCCAACCTGCTAGTCACGATATCTTTGACCACTGTGAAATATAATAATGACATCGCTATCACCTCGTTTCACATCATTGATGTTGGACGTTGCTCAGTGTGTTGATGATGTCATTGCTGCTTGCAGGGGGCATCAACCCGTGTGCCTTGGTGTGCGAGGGCGAGGGCGAGGGCATCGTCTACACCTTCGGCAAGGTCACGGACGGCACCCACTGCAAGACTGACCTTTCCCAGGATGGTCTCTGCGTCAACGGACGATGCCTGGTCAGTACTCCCGCAGCGGCTGCTTGTCTTGAAGTTACGGGGGGAGGGAGAGTTGCGTGCGGAACTGGGGTTATGTCGGGAAGGGGGGGAGGGAAACTTAACGTTTCGCTCTGCATAGAGCTTCGTGGTAGAGCGAAATGTTGTTCTCGATAGGAGCTTGTTACGAGATTTGCTTTCCTTGTGTTCTCAATTTAAAAGTGATGTACACATCAAGTGCACTCCAGCTCTGAGCTGGAGTGTTGTGTCCAGCTCTGAGCTGGAGTGTTGTGTCCAGCTCTGAGCTGGAGTGTTGTGTCCAGCTCTGAGCTGGAGTGTTGTGTCCAGCTCTGAGCTGGAGTGTTGTGTCCAGCTCTGAGCTGGAATGTTGTGTCCAGCTCTGAGCTGGAATGTTATGTTCAACTCTGAGCTGGAGTGTTGTGTCCAGCTCTGAGCTGGAGTGTTGCAGGAATTCGCCAGCCAGACGCCACCTGACTTCTCTCACGGAATTTCTGAAATTTCAGCACAACCCGAAGCTATTATTATTATTATTATTATTATTATTATTATTATTGTTATTGTTATTTATTCATGGGTCATGCAGCCCTTTCTGACCGGAAAGCAGTCAAGTCTGATATAAGAAAAGGAAAGGACAGCTCCAGTTTCTTAAATTAGGAGAGTATCATCAGAATCCCAGGAATGTGTATATATATTATATAATATATATATATATATATATATATATATATATATATATATATATATATATATATATATATATATATATATAATATATATAATATATATATATATCTGTGTGTGTGTGTGTGTGTGTGTGTGAACATTAACATGGTTGTACCAGCCTTCAGGAGAAGTGTCTTGATGCTGGTGAAGGATCTTCAATCCAAGGAATTAGAGCTAACATCTACTTCCTCGAATCAAACCTCATTACCTCTCAATATCCAGATACTGTTCGACCCTTACGGGTGAATCGCTTCCTTATTGTCAATAATAATCGTGAAAATAATAATGCTAGCAATAACAACAATAGTAGTAGTAGTAATAATAATAATAATAATAATAATAATAATAATGGCTGCAGAGGTTGTCGTGTGATGGTCGTCTTGGAGGCAGTGCGAGGGAGGACCAGTGTCGTGTGTGTGGTGGTCGTAACGACACATGTACCCACCATGTTGGTGTGTTCCATACTGACCTGCCAGCCTCCGACCAGCCCAGCGGCCGTGCCCACTCCAGAACACGAACCAGTGAGTAACCCACTCCAGACCACCACCCAGTGAGTAACCCGCTCCAGACCACCACCCAGTGAGTAACCCACTCCAGACCACCACCCAGTGAGTAACCCGCTCCAGACCACCACCCAGTGAGTAACCCACTCCAGACCACGAACCAGTGAGTAACCCACTCCAGACCACCACCCAGTGAGTAACCACTCCAGACCACCACCCAGTGAGTAACCCACTCCAGACCACCACCCAGTGAGTAACCCACTCCAGACCACCACCCAGTGAGTAACCCACTCCAGACCACCACCCAGTGAGTAACCCACTCCAGACCACCACCCAGTGAGTAACCCACTCCAGACCACCACCCAGTGAGTAACCCACTCCAGACCACCACCCAGTGAGTAACCCACTCCAGACCACCACCCAGTGAGTAACCCACTCCAGACCACCACCAGTGAGTAACCCACTCCAGACCACCACCCAGTGAGTAACCCACTCCAGACCACCACCCAGTGAGTAACCCACTCCAGACCACCACCCAGTGAGTAACCCACTCCAGACCACCACCCAGTGAGTAACCCACTCCAGACCACGAACCAGTGAGTAACCCACTCCAGACCACGAACCAGTGAGTAACCCACTCCAGACCACGAACCAGTGAGTAACCTACTCCAGACAACAAACCAGTGAGTAACCCACTCTAGACCACGACCCAGTAAATAACCCACTCCAGACCATAACTCTGAGTAAGCCACTCCAGACCACCATCCAGTGAGTAACCCACTCTAGACCACGGCCCAGTAAATAACCCACTCCAGACCACAACTCTGAGTAACCCACTCCAGACCACCATCCTATGAGAAACCCACTCCAGGGCCCACCACCCAGGAGTAACCACTCCA